TGTGGAGCCCAAAACTGGACACAGTACTCCAGCTGCGGCCTCACTAAGGCCGAATACAAGGGGAGAATGACATCCCGGGATTTGCTTGAGAAGCATCTATGGATGCAAGCCAGAGTTCTGGTCGCTTTACTAGCTGCAGCATTGCATTGCAGGCTCATGTTCATCTTGTGGTCAATGATGACCCCCAAGTCTCTTTCTTGCATAGTGCTAGCCAGTGTAGCACTGCTGATCCTATAAGGATGCTGCGGGTTTTTCTTCTCGAGGTGGAGAACCTTGCATTTATCGGCGTTGAACACCATCAGATTCTCATCCGCCCACTTGCTGAGCCTGTCCAGGTCAGCCTGGATAACCTGCCTGTCTTCTGGTGTGGATGCTTTGCCCCAAAGTTTGGTGTCATCGGCGAACTTGGCCAGTCCGCTTCTGACTCCAGTGTCCACATCATTAATGAAGATGTTGAACAGTATGGGTCCAAGGACAGAGCCTTGGGGGACCCCACTGGTCACAGGACACCACGATGAGTGACTTCCATCGATTACTACCCTCTGGGTCCGACCACGGAGCCAGTTTTTCAGCCAGTGGATCGTGGTGGACCCAAGGTGACAATTTCCCTTGTCCAGGTGATAGGTCACCTGGTCGTAGAAGGAAATGAGATTGGTCAAGCAAGACCTACCCGCAACAAACCCGTGCTGGCTATCCCTTAAGATGTTGGCGTCGGCCAGTCCATTAAGGATGGCCTCTTTAATAAACTTTTCTAAGATCTTCCCCGGGATAGAAGTCAGGCTGATGGGCCTATAGTTAGCCGGATCCACTTTCCTCCCTTTCTTGAAGATAGGCACCACATTGGCCTTCTTCCAGTCTTCGGGCACTACACCAGAGCGCCAAGAGTTTTCAAAGATCCGTGCTAGAGTCTGGGCTATGATGCTCGCCAGCTCCTTGAGTACCCTGGGGTGAAGATTGTCAGGGGCGGCTGACTTGAAGGTATCCAGCTTCTCAAGATGTTCCTTCACAAAGTCAGCATTAATGGAGGGCAGGGGATCACCCTCACCCGGACTTCCCTGTCCCGTAGCGGGCATGGGCGTCCCATGGGACTGATGAAAGACTGACGCAAAGTACCTATTTAATAGGTTGGCTTTTTCCTGGGCGTCAGTTGTCAGTTGCACCATCTGGTTCCGCAGGGGTCCAATGTTGCCCCTGATTTTCCTCCGGCTCCCCACGTATCTGAAAAAGGACTTTTTATTGTCCTTGATGCTCGAAGCTAGTTGGAGTTCAGTTGCAGCCTTGGCTTTCCTGGTATGCTCCCTGCAGGACCGGACCAGTGCAGAATAATCCTCCTTGGAGGTGACTCCCATCCTCCATCCTTTGTAGGCCTTTCTTTTTAGCCTCAGGAGGTCTGCTAGGTCCCTGGAGAGCCAGGGGGGCTGCTGTGCCCTCTTGCTGCCTTTTTGTTATTGCATTAGAATCTTGGGGACTATAATATACTCCTGTGTCCCATGATCTTCCAGAATACCCGTGTGGCCAAGCAAACTGTTTTCCTGTGGTATTAATACTTTGGCCTCAGATTTTGAGAGAGGTCCAGATGGCTCATGTTTGTATTCAGATTTAAAGCAACTCAAGTTTCAGGCAGTAAAAAAAATATTATAAACATTCCTTCATTTTTAACATGATGACATATAACACAATTTCCTTTAGGAAATAAATAACCAATAAACATCATTTATCAATACAGAACTGTAATATAATATATTTGCTGGAATATAAAAGCATTTCCAGTGTGGATGGCAAGAAAGAAGGGAAGGAGAACATGAGTAAGAACTAGTAGATTGGGGTAGGCTTTTGGAGGATGTAGGGTTCATCTACATGTGCACATTTAATCTGCATTAGCCCAATTTAAGGTGCATTAAGGGCATGCATCTACATGTGTGCACCCCTAGTACGCCTTAAAAAGTGATTTAAGGCTATTTTAGCCTAAATTTAATACCTGCATAAAGCAGGTCATAAGTCAGTCTGCATACCCGTGTTAATGCACATTAGCAAGTTTACATGTTTGCTAATGTGATTTAGCTATTCGTGTATAAATTTTCACAGAGTCACAGAAGTTTAGGGCTGGAAGGGTCCAGCCCTCCTGCTCTGAGCAGGAAAGACTGCTGGGGTCAAACAACCTGCTTTATGTGTGCATGTGTAGAAGTACACCTAAATTGCCTTAATGTGCATTTGCCTAATGCACATTAAGTTTAGGCTCACGTAAAAGCACATGTAGACATGCCTGCATTCTAGATTCTCAGAGAATCTAGCCTGCTTTGAGATTTTGAGTAGAAGGACAGACTGGTTCGCATGTTTCTTTCTAACCAATCTTAGTCAGCATGGGGGTGGGGGAGGACTTGTGCTGCAGTTCGACAGATGCCAGCTTCCATTTAATTATATTACCTCATCAAGGCACCCAGCTGTCTGAAACAATGTACATCTTTCTCTCAGGGCTGAATTCTGGAAGGTGCTTGCCCTAATCTAGACATGAATTTGAAGGCTATGCTTAATTTTGATCATATCAGGACTTCCCATTAACTTAAAATATGCTATGCGTATGACTAAGATATTGCGCCTAATCTGTTTTGTTTTGTTTTTTAAATTTCATCTTCACACTTGGGCCATTTCCTGATAAATTAGCGAACTAAAAATGGTATTAAAGATAGAGGAAATGTCAATAGATAAGGGAGCAGATGGAAACCTCTCAATTTTTCTGTCTCTGGCACACAATATTTCATCATCCTTGGGACCATCAGTGAAGTCGGGTGTCTTGGGAAGTACCAGTCACCCTGGAGGTCCACAGCTACTCCTGGGAAACAAGATACATAAATGTTGCTATAGAAAGCCCTGTTCAGATTCGATGTCAAAGTTTACAGGACAATTAAATGTCTATATAATGGGGAAATGAGACAAGGTTTGAGAAAACCAAAGAATATATCCATGTACTATAGTGGTACATCATGATCTTTTAAGTAGACATATTAGTTTACCGAGAATAGAATGAATGACTTTTGGAAGCACTACAAGAAATAATAAAAGTAGAACAAGTTTGTCTTTAATCTTAATTTTAAGAAAGTAGGGCAAAGAGTTGCACCACCAACATAATAAGACAGCGGTATTCTACATTTTGTCCCTGCAGGCCAGATACATAGCATAAAGGCTTTCATTGGGCTGGAGCAGATGTTGGAGCCCAGCACCTCTCCCTCCCTCACATGCCAGGATGCGGCCCTAGACATACCCCCTGTAAAGGTGTGGCTTTTAACCCAGGGCCCTGGCCTTCATGGTACAACTGCTCTAGGAGAGAATCTATGGCAACCAAATTAATCAAATTTAAAATAATGCTGAAAATCCCAGTTCAGAGTATAATTTGAATGCACTGCTTTGTTGAAGTCTATCTGTTTGGCCAACATCAGGGCTCTATGTTTGATTCTTGGAAAACTTCTGGCTTAAGAAAAGTTACCTTCTCATATACTTTTTCTTCAAAATTTAAGAATAGAAAATTTCAGCATTGCTATAGAAGCAGGTGATGTTCCTGATCATTTACTGTATTTGATTTTCAGTGCTTAAGATTTTAAAGAATGATTGCCTAATGTCAGTCTTTGCTGCTGGAGAGTTTCCCAGAGCCACAGGTTTCTTCTCACTGTCCCATTTCTTGTCTCAAAAAACAGGCTAAGGTTCACCCCTGGAGTGACTCATCCCTGTAATCTTTACCGACTCCAGGGTAATCTCCCCTTGGTTTGTGTAAAATTTCTGCATTTCCTCTTCCTGCAGGTGATAGTTTTTTGTATCTGTCTCTTTATGTGCAGGTGTCCTCTACCATTTAAGAGAAACATTTTTTAGAGCCAAAAAGAAGTTAGGGAGAGGTGATGCCTTTAGATTTTGCCAGATTCCCCATTGGAAGCTGAGACTTGAAATGAAAATTGAAGAAAGGGTGAACGCACTTGAATCAAGACAGCAGGAAATAGTTGCAATACCTTCTGCAGTTTGAAACTACAGAGATCCAATAAGCCCTAATCATGTAACTAATTTTGGCTTCTTTCATTACTTTTATCCATGGGGCTGAGGTAGCATGTGTGTTTTAAGGCTCATGGTTGATAGCCAAGGGACAGAAGCACTCATGGCATGGGTATGTCAGATTACAACAAATCTAAATTGTGCTAAATATCTTGTCACAAGGACAAGGACATGAGTAGGAAGGAAGGATCCAAGTCTACTCTCTGAAGGTGGGCATAGCTTCCCAATTAAGGGCTATAGTTTCTTGTGAGTTGCTCCAGCCAACAGACTTTTAATAAATGGCAATCTTTTCTTACCTATCTTGCAGTACACTAGCCTTTGCTGAATAACTATATTATCTGACTGACACTTCCCCTCTCCAGCCCTGCAAAATATTGTATGCACAGGCTTAACCTCATGTAAACGAAATAATCCTATTTAAGTACTTACGATCTCCAAAATACCACCCTTAGTCTATAAATTCCTTGGAGTCCTTTTAGTTTTGTTGCAACGGGCTAACTCATTTTGATGCCGTTAATACTGATAAATACATGTTTGCACCCTGCCATGCATGCACCAGTCAATGGCCAAGGTCAGCATCTCCATAAAAATGCAAATAGCTTGTTTCTGTAGTTATCATTTCTCTGTTGACTTTCGCTGAAGGACAAGCTATTATATGATGTATAGCCTGCAATTGTAAAAATACATAAGCAGCATTATAGGGTCCTTGATGTCATGGTACATGGACAGTCCCAGCAAAATTGCAGTGATGTGTGACAGCATGCACGCATATGTTTCTATTGTTGTGTTGTTCAGGTGATGAACCCTCTGTCTCTGTTTCAGGCAATTGCAGTCATGCAGGATACTTGGGTTGGCAAAACCACGCCTTGTTTGGCTATGAAGGAAAACAGTCTGGAGCAAATAAAGTTCAAGGTAACTTTACAGAGCAGGGTCATATTTCTTTTCAACTGACTGTATAAAAAGCACACAATGCCTCAGTGTTTGGCAGAAGTGCTAGAACAGCATAGTTCTATACGTACTGCGTTTGGCTGTAACAAGGGCACCAGTCAGGAAACCCTCAAAGCTATGGCCAGTCAGGTCCCAGCTGAGAAGTCTGAAAAGTGTCAGTGTGAGACAAGCCGTCCTGAAAGCATTCTTTACCAGCTCCTTAGCAAACAACACCAAAATGATACCCAATGGATTGACCACTATTCCTACACTCCCTGCTCCCTACCAAGTGTTGGCTGTCCTTGTGTGGATAACAGGAGAGTTATCCTGAAAAATCCAGAAGTCACTTGCATGAGAGCTTCTGAAGTGCTCCTGAAGACTATAACTTTTATAAGAAATTTGCCCTCCTTCTGTGATTTGCCCCAAGAAGATCAGATCCTCCTGGTACAGCAGTGCTGGGCCCCTCTCTTTGTTTTGGGTCTGGCACAGGAGAGAGTGGATTTTGAACTGAAAGAAATTTCAAGCCCTAGTTTGTTGAAAAAAATCCTTCTCAATCAATCTTTGGCAGCTAGTGAGGAACTGGAGAGCTTCCCACATGGAGCATCGTTAGCAGAAGTTCAGAAGCTGAAACATTTTCTGAAGAAATTCTGGAACTTGGATATGTGCGCAAAGGAATATGCTTATCTTAAGGGGATTATTCTCTTTAATCCAGGTAAGTCTCAACAGAGTATTTCTAGAAAGAAAGTTCACAGTTAATTGTGTGTTTAAAAGTACACTTAAAGCTACTTGCAAACAAACAAACAAAATAATTCAGAAGGGAAGTCATTAAATCACTGAATGCAGAGTTTGAAAATGTTTAGCTACATTAATAGAAGCTGTTTAAACTGAACATTTGTTTACATGTGTTGGTATTTAGACCATTTACATGTGCTCATTCAGTTACCTTGTAAAAATAAACAGTCTTTTAACAAATCATTAGTTCATATGTATGTACTGTGCCACTTAAAACTCATTTCCAGACTTGTGGGGAAGACTAGTGGGTACCTCTACATGTACATCAAGGCTGCTCCAATGCGTGGTAATTATCGTGCTCCAGCAGATCCCAGCGTCACATGTATCAGTGTCCCTGTGGTGAAAAAGGGTGGCAAGGGTGCCTTTAACTACAGGTCCTTCAATGAAATTCAGTTAAAGTGCCCCACTGCCATTTTTCAGCTTGGGGATGCTGATACGCATGACATTCCAGGTGCTTTAATTAGAGATTTAATTAAAGTGCTTCCCCTCTCCACCCAACCCCCAATCTCCTAAAGCACATGTATAAATTCCCAGAATGGCTGCATTAAATAGAATGTGGCAGGGCACATGCAATACACATATTAGACACACATTTTAATAGGACTTCTTATGTAGCTAAACTATTTGAAAGCAGATTAACAAATGAATTAGGTATAACATCTAAGTGATGTGATTTAATCTCCTGCGCTGTGTTGCAAGTTGCATCCTAGGTTTGTTTTCTATTATGTAGCAGTTTAAATTTAAGAGTTTCATATTTGGGCCCTAGAACAGCAGTTATAAGGTAGACTCAGAAAAGTTAGAATGATTTGTTTTACTCCTCATGACAAATAGGCAGATGCAAGTAAAGGTTAGCCTATAGGAAGTTTGGCTGCTTCAGATTCACAAACTGTGTGAATCATTAAAGGGCCTGACCCCAAGTGTAATGAAGTATGTTGAAAAGACTTCTATGCTGTAGATTTTGGATCAGACCCTTTCTAATGGGTGACAAAAAGCACTATTCAGAACACCAAAAAAACCCCTATAGTTGAGGTTATGCCAGAAGGGCACTCAAACACTTTAGCTGCAAGAAAACTGGGTAGTTAGTGATGCTTCTTGGAGGGACCATATTGCAATTGCCTTTCTGTAGACTGGGCTGGCCGTGCTTTTGTTTTTCAGTGTAAAGCAAAGTGTGAGTCTTTTTAGCGCCCTTCAGGACATTTTGCATTGTCTTGTGTATCTCGTAATGCATCTGTGCTATGCAACTGGACCGGTGGAATCTTGTTTGCTTCATTGTGAATGGTGTCAATTACTAAATATTATAGATAAATCCTCATGTTGGGGGTAAAATAGGCTGAAAATAAATTAGTGCCATTTTCACTAATTTCACCAGATCTGCTTAGCAGGAGATAGCTCTTGGTGGTTTATACAGGATTTATAATATAGGAAAAAGGATTTATATATAGGAAAAGCTCTCCCCAGCCCTTTGAAGAAACCACAATCCTTGTTTTACATCTGGCGAAACAGAGGCAGAGCCATTATGTGACTGACTTAGATAGGGCTTTAAACTACGATCACAGGGGGATGGGAAAACACTAACTGGAGCCTACCCGGGGGGCCAATATACAGGAAAGCTCCATTGACGATGAAACCAAGCAAGCCACTCTTACGGGAGCTGAGAAAACAGCTCCTCTTCAATGCAATAGGTGGCCAGTGACCTCTATAGAAGGACTTAGGTGCCTGTACACCAATGCCAGAAGCATAAGGACCAAGCAGGAGGAACTAGTCCTCCTGCTTTCCACTGGGCACTACAATCTAGTAGGGATCACGGAGGCCTGGTAGGACTCCTCTCATGACTAGAGTGTAGCCATAAAGGGCTACGTCCTTCACAGAAGGGATCGAGTAGGGAAGAGAGGTGGGGGTGTTGCCCTCTTTGTGAAGGAGCAGTACACCTCTCTACAGGCTAATGTTGGCCCTAAAGAAGAACAGCTAGAAACCCTCTGGGTCAAGTTCCAAGGGAGGCATGGTGAGAGAGACCTGACTGTAGGTGTATACTACAGGCTGCCTAACCAAGGGGAGGAAATTGATCTAGAGTTCACCCCTGAACTAATGGAGGCCACGCATGTATGGGACATGGTTGTCATGGGTGACTTCAACTACCCAGACATCTCCTGGGAGGAGTGCTCGGCCAGCTTGGATCAATCACAATCCTTCCTGACCAGCACCAAAGAGCTTTATATGACTCATGAAGTGCACAGGCCAATTAGAGGCAATGCAGTTCTTGACCTGGTCCTGGCCAACTTAAACATAAAGGGCAGTCTAGGTGACAGTGACCATGAAATCATTATGTTCACGGTCCATCGCAAAGCTGACAAAACATACCAAACCTGAAGTCTTAAACTTAAAAAATGAAAATTTTAAAAAGCTCAGGCCATTAGCAGAGAATGCCCTGAGAGACCAAGGACCACAGGTAAAGGGAACACGAGAAGAATGGTCATTCCTTGAGGGTACAATCCTTAAGGCTCAGAGAAAATCCATTCCCTTAGAGAAAAAATAGCAGAAGGGTCTGTCGCAGGGCACCTCAGTGCCTGCTTCTAGGGAGTAGAAACTGCCAGAGAGAGCAAGCCCTGGCAGGACATAACGAGCCCAGATGAGGGTTGCCAGGGTAACGAGCACAGCTGCAGGTTGCCGGGGCAACTAAGGAGAGCCAGCTGCCGGTAGGAGGCAGGGCCTGGCCCTTATAAAGCCCAGGGCTGAGGCCAGGTTGGTAGTTCTCTGCCAGCAGCCAGGGAGGCAGGAGCTCCGGGAGTGAGGATGCGGAGAGGAGCCTAGTAGCAAGTACCACTGTTATATGGAGCAATGTGGTTATAGCCAGAGGGCATGTGTTTAAGTTATAGCCAGGAGGCTTGTGGTTATGTTTGGCTCTGTTGTTACACCGGAGGTTTGGGTGAGGCTGTAGGGGTTGGAGGAGGCCTCATAGGGACCCCAGAGGTGTGGGGGCCCTGAGCGCAACCAGTGGGTTGCGGGCGGGGAACAGAGACCCCGGATTGCATGCGGGGCATGTAGACCCCAGCCCCAGAGAGGGGCAGCTTTGAGACGCCCCAGAGGGGGCATGACAAGCCCCAGAAGGGGGCACTACTAGGAAGCCCTAGCGTAGACGTGGCGAGCCCCAGAAGGGGGGAGCGCAGCGTGGGCCCAACGAGTCCCCGAGAAAGGGGGGGACTATTGAGAAGCCCAAGGTGGGCACGG